TGAGGTTTATGAGTTTATCGAGTGTTAGTTTTGTTTAGAATAGTCTTAGCATAAAGTAAAATCATTAGTCTTAGCATAAAGTATTAAGTATTTTTCAATACATGAAATTTAAATTAACCTTAATTAAAATTTAATAACAATTTAATACATGAGTTGTGGACCACGTAGGCCGTGGTGGTGAGCTGTGTTGATGTCCGTATGCCAAAGAGATTAGAGTCGAAAGCTACATGAGCAGTGGATCACGTAGGTCATAGTTGATCATGTAGGTTGTTATAGTTGGCTGTAAGGAGAGAACCTTAGTAGTCAAGTCAATGTCACAGTCTCCGGGTGTATTAAACACCCCATTTGGGAGATATTGTTGCACCATATGTGGGATGCATTATTTACACCATCATATTCGTTGCATGCATGGTTACACCGTTTTTTAGGTTTGTTGCTGCACATTGTATTGGATGACACATTGCTCACCCACACACTTTTTTGTTTCACAACGTGCGCTACGATTTTGCAATGCAAGTTGTGGCTACGTAAGAGACTTCGCTGCAAGGACAAAGTTGTGGCTGACTGTGGTTAACGATGGCCGACAAGTGATGGTTGACAGTGGTTGACAGCTATAGAAATGAGAATTTTTTTGAATCTACGATACAGAAGTGAAGCTGAACTTTAGCTCCTCCTCCAAGCTTCGGTCTTGTTCTGGCTCAATGTCTCTCATCCTCTCAAGAGGTGGTAGGGCTCTATTTATAGAGTATATGAGAAACCTCTCTGCAAATGTTGAAGAATTCAGACAACTCCATCAGATAACTCAGAGAGATTCCCTTAAGCGGACGACACTCGGTGAATAATTGAGTGCATTAATGATGTAAGAATTGTGTTATCTTTGGCTCGTTGGATTCACCACACTCGATTTGACTATAAACTTATCAGATTTGAAATCAATTTGAACTTCCAATTATGTACATAATGATTTCAAAATTTATTTAATGACTTTATCTGTGCTTGATCATTTGGCTCAGATTGGATAATTTTGTTATCATTGGGCCCATCTCATTGAGCCGGTCAATTTGAATATTAGTGTTGAAATCAAAATTTTGAATGATTTTTAATCAAGCTTTAAACATCTCTTGCTCAAAAAGTTGTCTCGATATTCTGCCTCAAGATTCGTGCAAAATGATTAATTTGTACTTGACATATGCTCCCATAACGATGCATGAGAAGGGGTGCTATTTCTCTTTTTAAAAGTGGGGATACATTTTATTTGATATGAATGAATTGGATTGGGTCATATAAAAAAAGAAATAAAGCTTACACTTTAGATATGTAACAAAAAAAAAAAAAAAAAAAACCCACACGTGTCAAAATAAATATATTTAAAATTTAATTTTATTGTTGGTCAAAAGCATTGTCTAAAAGTAGTATTGTGGTCGTATTTATTCTGCACATAAGACAGAGTTATACATCATGAGAAAAGACCTATTAAAATTTTGGGGGCATTTACATGCATACCACCCAATTCCCCTGCATTTACATGTATACACCTAAACACTACTTTTTTACATTTAGGCCACCCAAATCTTTCATATCATAGAGAGGTTATATATATATATATCTATATATATATCTATATGTGTATGTGAGAAATTTGAAGTATGTAAATCCTTGAAAAAGAAAAAAAAAAGGAAAAAGAAATACACCTTTTTTACAATTTGCCATCCATTTATTATATATGAAATTATGGCTCTAATAAACGAAATGTTCTAACAATCAAACAAGATAAAGTCTATTTTTCAACATAAATTAATGCACCTTAGAGGTAGCTCGAGGCTCATAATATATATATATATATATGATGAGTAGTATTTTTAAAAAATTTAATTGACTACAAGGCTACAAAGATTTATAATCAATTAAAAGTATTAATTAAGAAAATAGAATAAAAGTTATTAACTTAGATTCAAATGATGTTTTAAATCTTGCCTCAATCATATAACTACATGATTAGGTTTTTCAAAACGACTCTTTGTTCGTGAACGGCTCCGCTAAGCAAACAAGCCGAACACGACCACACTTTTTGAGCTCGGTATATAAACGAGCCGAACATGAGATGAGCTTGGTCTCGCTCGTGTTCGGCTTGTTTACACCCCTATTAACATGACACATTATGCTGCCTTATCTACACATGAAAAGTGCTCGTATTTTTGATTTGATATGAATGAGCGGGATGATACAAATGAAAAAACTCAAAGTTTGATGGTATATAAGTAAATACAAAAGAGTAGGGTGTTAAAATAGGTTTTGATCGTTGAAGTGATTCACATGAGTTTAATGCAGTCAACATAGCAGCCAAAAAAGGAATTTTTATATATTTTAAATTAATTTAATTGTTAGCCAATAACATTGTATAAATATAGTATTTTGGGTGTGTTCGGTCCAGACATAAGAGAGAATTATGATGAGAAAAGATAAATTAAAATCTTGGGGGCATTTACATATATAGCACCTTAATTCTTCTTTTTTACATTTATACCACCGAAAGCTTTCACAGCATATAAGAAATATCACTATTTCAACCTTGAAAGAAATACAAATTTTCATGCAATAGATAAGGTGGCGTATTTGTATAAAAATAGTATTTTGGGCGTATTCAGTCTAAACAAGAGAGAAATTGCGTTGAGTTGTGTGTGTGTGTGTGTGTGTGTGTGTGTTACGCTGTGTTAAAATCAACCACGTTGAGTTGTGTGTGTGTGTGTGTGAGAGAATCAACTACGCTGTGTGTGTGTGTGTGTGTGTGTGTGTGTGTCGTATTACATCATAAATACCATTTTATTTGCATGCGTAATAAGGTGTTAGAAATGTAAATACGTTGGATTTAAGTAGTACATGTATATGTAAATCTATCCAATTTTATAAATGAAAAACTATACAACAACAACATTCTCTTTTGAGTAAAAAGAGTAGAGAGAAAATCTTTGTTAACATGTAACTAGTATATTATTTGAGTTCTAGTCTTGAGGTATGAGGCACCAATTTCATCGGAGACCACTATAATGAAAGTCAAACGAAATTAATATTTATAATTGTATGTTCTCGTGCTAATCTTACATATATAATTGATAAAAATATAAGATATATTCTCATCTTTTAAGAGAAAAATATAGACCGTTAACCTAAAATCACTACTGCTTATATTGTGGCTATGAAATGAATGGAATGTTATAGGTTTGCATATATATTTTTTTGTCGAGTTTTTCGTCTTATTATATTATGTATACTTTTAGATTCCTACAACATTATGAGTCATTTTTTTTACTTTCTCAAAAATAATTTTACTTGAAAAATTATAAATAAAATCAACAAAAAAATTGTTTATTTATCTCTAGTCATTAAGTTTGAAGATTCTACAATTCTACAACAACTGACACTTTATTTCTTTTGAAATATTAATAATATTTTTGATATGATGATAAAAATATTTGAGTGGTAGATATGTAAATATGAAAGTTTAGGAATTAAATGTATGATTACATATAAATTACGTGGCATCTACTTAAATGCCCCATGCCCCAAAAATTTATTCTAAAAAAATTTATTCTAAGAAATGAGAAATATATAAAAAATAGATGAACCGTCAGCCGTGTATTTGATATATTGATCAAGAAAAGCTGAAGGTTGTTTGGCGCGGGGACTGACTCAATCCTGATGCGGGAGAAGTGTAAAATCTCAATTTCAAAATCATTCTAAAGAAGCAATTAATATATTTTGTTTCAATTATAACAACCCAATCCTGATGGTGCGGGGATTGGAACAGATTCACAACTGAAGCCATGCAATTTGGACGGCGACTTGTTCTATTTTCACAGCTGAAGCCATGGAATTAGGAAATAAAATAGCTTACGTGTCCTCATTACCCTAATTATCGTCCAAACAATTCGGCCTAAAACCTTTAATAAATAGCATCAATCAAAATGCCAATATCATATTCAGAATTAATCCTCCTCGATTGATCCATCCTCCTCATAATTCCTTCTCTCACTTCCCGCCGTCAGTCTTCTTTCTCCACTGCTCTTCCCACCAAACTTCTCCTTCTCCGACTTCTTTCTTCGCTGCAGTTCCCACCGGGTTTCTCATTCCGTCGGACTTCTCCTTCTCCGACTTCATTCTCCCCTGTTCTTCCCGGCAGACTTCCTCCCCATCTTCTTTCCCCACTGCTGTGAGATACAACAGAGTGGTCTTTGTTCCTTCATTTCAAATAAAAGTTTTGCGTTATTTAAAATATTTGATTTAAATTTTGTTTAAATTATGATTTTTCAGAAACAGTAATGGCTCAAGAATAACACAATTTTGAGTCTCAATTTGTCCCCCGCCCACAAAATATCCCTCCT